GCTTAAAGCACAGTTTCGTGACTCCGACGGCGGCGTGGGTGAGGTTACTCAGGCTTGGTATTCCATTTGGGGTGATGTGGTGAGTTGTTTTCGTTGCCCGTCCTTGGATACATTTGTACTCAAGTAGGACGGGACATGTCTTTCCCCGACTATTTACTTACACTGGAATAGGTTGCATTCTGTTGTACTGATGGTCAGTATCCGATGAGTGCCACCAATTACGCCGGTCTTCTTGAGCGTATCACCGATAGATGTGGCTGGTATGTACCAGGAACTTTGGTACCATCTTCCATCGGGTTTGATACGATCGGTTGTGGCTACATGAACTATTCTCCTGGCCTCGACTTCTGTGGCGCTTCAGACACTGGCAGATTCATGGGTGATAAGGGACGTTGCTAAGCCTGAGCATGTTCACCGGTCATAGAATTGGCTATAGGAGCCCTGCCCTAGTTATACTATCAATTATTAAACCCACTGTTTCCTTTTTCCTTTCACTGCCGAGTCCGTATCTCTAGCTTATATATTGATATTGACTAGACGAAAAGACCCTTACATGTATTCCTACGCTCTGTTTTGCTTGGGAAAACGAGGACGAAAGGAATTATGATCACAAAGATTATAACTTGATGGAATTGGTTATAAATTGGGTCGATAGTTCAGATATATTTTAATTCTGAGTTTCTTCTACAAGACTTATTTCTTGAAATCATCATTCTAACCAGGTTTTGTTTTTTCTCTGTCTCCGACTTCATCGAAAGCCACGTCGACCTTTTGCTTCTGAGTCTTGCGATTATCTTCCGGCACTGTAATAGAACTTTGAGCTGAGCTGACATGTGTAGAATTCCCATCGCTTGGATGGCGCTCAAGCTCAGTTTCTACAAGCCACGGATACTGCGTGAGTCCTTCGCTTCCCATAAGTGCCGCATTGACGAACAGGGTCTTCCCAGGAGCCAGTTGCTCTTCATCGCCCTGGCAGTAACTAGCGATACAACATCTTTGAGACTTGTATCGCTCCAATCTGTTTAATCGAGCTTTATTGTCTTCCAGAGACTCCCATTTGGTCTCCTGCAAGCGCGGCAGACTCTCGACAACCCGCGACTTTGCATTGTCGATGTCGCTGAAATGGGATGGAACTTCTGAGATCTGGGGCCTCCAAGAAACGATCTTTGCACCCCAACTGCTGTGGACATGACCGAAACAGCGAATTCGGGGCTGTGCTTTTGCAATAGCAGAGAATAGTTGAGGGCAGCCGATTCGTTGCCTTTCTGGCGTCATATCCATTATGCCATGCGGTGGGCCATGTATCACCACAACGTCGATCCCTCTTGGAATAGCAAATTCATGGGCCCCATTGTACTGAAAGCCCCAATCCGTGCTTCCGGATGTTGTAGGAGTATATGGACTGGCATAAATATTCATGAAGGCGCCATTCTGGAGACGAATCTCATGCGTTCCTTCGTCGATGAATATGATACCATGGCCTGCTTCCATGAGCAGGCTCTTAACCTCGCCGTAGTCTCCGTACCCATCTTTGATGCTTTTCTCGAGGTCCTCTTGTGCTACTCTGCTTGCTTCTGCAATCTTATTTCTGAAGACCCCGTCGTCAAGAGAGAAGTCATGATTTCCTGCAATAACAATCTTGGGGGCATCGATTTCCTTGAGAAGTTGAATTGCTTCTCGGAAGCCTTCCAGCTTAGAATCTTCCGTGAGATCACCGCAATGAATGACAAGGTCGACTGGTGCGAGGGGTTTCCTATTCTCCTCGAAGCGTAATCCATGAGTATCTGACAGGATAAGAATCCTTGTCTTGATGAGAGAGGACATCTTTCAGGTCCGATTTTGTAAGGTATTGAGGTTTTTAGAGAGACAAGATAGTAAATGGTAAGTGTGGAACATTTCAATGAGTATAAATGCACGAATAAATGCACGATTAGGCTGGTATCTAGGTATATGAATTTGGCGGAAGAAGTTTATTTAGTGTTTTGAGCTTACCAATGAACCCATAGGTGCATATCAAGATAAACTTCCAAGAATGAGTTTCAGCCATGAGCCTAATTCCGAAACTTTACAGATAGGATCTACTTTATGGCGAAATAGAAAAATCATGTTGTTTGTTGCATCAATGAACGTCTACGGCTAGCACGTGTAGAGGCTAGGGGAGGAAAGAAAACTCAGGATCTTGACCCTAAGCCATGAAAATATTTAGGTATATTCAGCCTTAGCTTAGGAGACTCTTTGCTAAGTTTATTTTAACATCTTTTATCAAGGTATGGTACTTTCTCGCTCTCTGAGAGTAGGTTAGCCATCTTGACCAAAGAAAGTATGTCAGAGAGAACGCACCATACCAAGTTCTGTGTGAGATATAAGTTTTCTCAACTGCAAATCACAGTGCCATGCAAGTACTTTCGACAAACTTTATGCTGAAGGTTGCCTGCGCCCGAGGACCTATATAAGGGCATGAAGTAGTCTTCTTTCTACTACATAAATATCTTCTTCTTTTATCACCATTCACCAGAGACTCCCTTTCACCTAATCGTGACCACCGATTTCAGAAATCTTGAACCGACGACAGACAACATGGGCCTTTTTGACTTCATACACCGAACTTTGCCTCCCGCGTACCCTGATGCTCCTCCTCCTTCCTACCAAGATGTTGCAGCACCTAGGTCATGGAAGGTTCATCTGAAGTTTGGATCTGATCCCGACCTTTTGAAGAGGGCAACCCCGCAGGTGAACCTGACCATCGGCTGGCAAGCCCACCTCATACTTAACACGTCAGATATCGTCAGCTTAATGAGGGAAGGGCTGTACGTGTCTCAGAAGAATGTCATTGTGGAGGAGAGCTGCTTGGCCCTACGTCCCCACGAGCAGGAGCACAAGACCTATTATCATGACCGTCATTTTGCTCTTACCGGCCCCAATTGGAAAGGGAATTTAGTGGTTACTACGTTCAGTGGCCCTATTGCAACTAACTTCCGCGTGGAGCACCTTTCAGCAGATAAAGTGTTTCACTGTGATGCATCGGATGTTTCTAAGACGCCGCAGTGCTGGGCATACTATTTTATGATAGATAGACCTCACGTCAACGCAAATTACATTTTGGACGACACTCCTTTGGAAGGCTTATGGCCGTGGCCTCGGAAAGAACCTAGCCCCCAAGGAATGGAAAATGAATGGAAAAGGAAAGGGAACAGGAGGGAACTGAGGAAGGCGATATGCTCGACCTGCTCTGAATAAACCTGTCGAGCTGCATGAATTGGAAAGGACGCACTTGCTCTTTTGATAGACACCAATATACTTAAACTCGAACTCGCCGTTCTGCCTCTTCTTTTTCCTTTTCTCTTCTTCAGAAACATCATCATGAACAAATTGTATGTCTACCTTGAACTCTACCCAGCTCTGTTTCACAGCCTCCTCACCGCTTTAATTCACAGATCACCACTCTGATTTACAGATCACCACTCTGATTTACAGATCACCACTCTGATTTACAGATCACCACTCTGATTCACAGATCACCACTCTGATTCACAGATCACCACTCTGATTCACAGATCACCACTGTGATTCACTGTGCTAACTTATATACCTAGTCTACTATACGAATTCAAATTCTCTTTCCGGGGCCAACAGCCCGACCCCGAAGCTGCCCACCTCAACCCCCGGTCAAATTCCCCCCTCCCCAAAGATACGTCTCCTCCCGCCGGTCAGGGTCAGGCCGCCAATGCCGCGGCGGATCCCCCGCAGGTGCCCGCCCCTCCGTAAGTCAACACCTATCGTTTGATCCAAGGAGATGCTAATCGCCCTGCCTCATTTAGTAGCTCAGCGGGAGCACCCCGGAGGTCCACCGACGGCAGGCAAGAATCAACGGCCTCGACCGCCCCTGGCAGCGGGAGTCCTGAGACGTGGGGAGGGGGTATGACATTAAACACGGGTTGGGCTGGGGTTGTGGCAGTCTTCGGGGTGGTGCTGTTGGTCACCGGATATATATTTATCCAAGCGGTAAAGGTGTTTCATACATCTTTATAAACATCAATATAACAGCGTCATGACACCATTCTATCATTCGTTTGCGACTAAATCTCTCCTTCCCTTACCTAAGTTAAGTGAAGACTAGGTAAGTTTAGAGTATCTTGGAAAGCCTTAGACCAGCTTAGGTAAGTAAAGACTGAGGGAGGTAAGTTTAGAATATCTTTAGAGAGCTTTAGAGTAGTAGGTTTCAGTATGTGGATCGTAGCAGATTGCTTGTCGTCACATCCTCTATCCAAGACAGTAATGGGTTTCGGCGTGTGAACTTGCTTGTCAGTACAGATTGAAGATTGCGGACTAAGTTTTCTCTGCTGATTTAAGCTCTCAGCCACAAGTCTCAACAGCAAATAACACATCCTCTTGCTATTGTGTTAGTACCTACTCTTGGTGCTCGGTTTGCCATCATGGCTGTAGCAGTTATGCAGGTTGGGAATAAAACCCTTCACTTTAAATTAGAGAGCTAGAATAAGCTAGTCTTAGGTTCTCTAGAGATACTCTAAACCTACCTAGTTCAGGTGACAAAATGTTTAAAACAAGCATCTGTTGACACGTCCTACAAAGTTTGATACAGTCCTGTCATTTCCGATAGCAGGGAACTACCTCTTTTTGGCCACCAAAAGTAGACGGGATATTGAAGACCTTTTTCTGTCCTGCAGCAACGGAGGCACTGCGTACGTCATAGGGCATCCAGCCAATTATAGAGCCTAATGTGCAATCCTACCTTTTGCTTACAACCTGGATGACAACGGATCGTCTGCTACAGCCTGAATGAATATGCACATGCACATGTTTCAGATTACTACTCCGGTGCGATTCGCCAGCTTCCTATAGTACTCCTTATCATGCAGGTCAGATGTTTTAAAGGGCGACCCGCCCTGACAGCCCTACAACAAAGTTGTCGCCATCACCTTCACCGCAACCATCGAGGATTTAATGCCAAACACGCCAGGACAAGGTTTCATCATCACAAAATGCCTATAAACCTTAGATATGATCACCGAAAGCACACGCTACCGATCTCGACGATAGAGTACGCCAGAGGCTTTCGACAGTATCCCATAAACTTTTGGCTCTGTACACTTCTTTTGTTTCTCGTGGAGCTCGGTTGTGCGATCCTTGCAGCCCCTTCGCCAATGCTTCTAGAGACAGCCGTCTGTCGGCACCATTTTGAGAAGGACAAACAACTTCTTAATGGAGAGCCAACAGATGAGTTTTGCAGGAGCAACGAGGTACAAGTGCATTTCGCATTCGTGATAACGGTGCTGTCAACACTGTCGACATTGGCTGGTATGCAAAATCACAATAGCCCCCTTGAACAGAGACTAACAGTGCAAAGCGACGATTATGCAAGTCCCCATGGGCCTCCTTGGGGACAAAGGCGGCCTTCGGCTTGCTTTTATGCTGAACACCACCAGCACCATCTTCTACTGGGGATGCATAGCAATAGTAGGTATGGCGTCCCTTCACGCACTTCAAGTAGGTCTACTCATCTTGATAGGATCGCAACAAAACCTCCCCCTCTGGGGCTTCTATCTCTCACCAGTATTCGTTCTCTTAGGAGGAGGACCATGGGTGACCGGCACACTTGTTTTCGCTGCCGTTAGCGACAGTGTCAAGCCAGAACAAAGGTTCACCACAATTACTATCATTCCCAACCCCATAACTGACATGACCGTCGTAGAACAGCGGCGTTCTCGATCATGGAGGCGATATCAGGGATCGCGGACCTCCTCGGGCCAATTATTGGCACAATGACGATGATCATTCACCTAGAGATTCCGTTTGCTCTCGCACTCGTGGTCTTCTCTTTGATGTTCTTTCCAGCGAGCCATCTTCGTGAGAACACGGCGAGCGATATGGAGGGTGTTGAGTCATCACAAGATGAGACCGAGTCACTGATAGGTGTTGACGGCGCTTCGGACCGTGAAGAGACTGATTTAGAGCACACTGCTAGAGACCTGCTCCCTCCACGAGCCGTCATATTCAGTATATGTTTTATCTGCTTCTTTTTCTTCCAGGTAGCAAAGGACTCCACGAACTATTTGATCCCTTGGGTGTCTATACGTTTTGGAGAGACCATGGCCCGGGTATGCTCGCTCACTCAACAACGATGCTTTTAATTGACTTTGTCACAGGCCGGGCTTCTATTCTCACTACGCGCAATCATGTCCTCTCTTCTATACTTTGTTATCTTGCCGCTCGCAACTTCTTGGATAGACCAGACTTGGTCAAGTGCAAACAGAGATCTTGTACTTTCTGCCTCTGGCGCTTTTTGTTGTACATTGGGCACTCTCATTGTCGCAGCCGCACCGAACCTTGCGACAGTTGCTTTTGGATTTGCACTATCGGTTCTGGGATCAAGCATGACCGTCACGTTGCGATCTTTCCTTGCTTCTAATGTGCAGAATGCTTTTTCAGGGCGGTTATTCGCGGGTATCTCTATGACAGGGACGATTGGTAGCCTCGTTGGCATGCCCATCATGGGAGCTGCCTATTCTTTGGGCATCAACTACAACATTGGGCTTCCTTTCTTGGTTTCAGCGGTAAGTTACACAGTGTCAGCATCTAAGCCCATCGTGGCGAGCTAACATGGCATCAGCTATCATACTCCCTCGTACTTGGACTCCTTGTATGGCTTGCATCGAGAATCTGATATAGTGAAGGGGAAAGCGGATGTATAGCGCGAAGGGTTACAAGTGTCAAAACACTTCTATATGAAAATCAAATACTTATTCACTGAATTAAGGATCATACCTAATTCACAAATATGTTCTGACTACCTGACTCATACTTCCCATAGCACGGTTATACATGCTTTGGGCAGACCCAACAAGCCCGCGCAAGCTTGATTGTGGAATCATTCAGACCACTCTTGCAATCAAACGACCAGACTGACGGACTATGAGTCGGGGTGAGGTCAACGCTTAGGTCCTCAGGCCTAGAGGCAGGTACAGTGAAGTTGACACGACCTCGATTCTTCTCGATACGGCCGACGATTTCATCTTCACCAATGATACAGATACCCAAGACATCCAAGAGATTTGTCTCATCCAAAAAGGCACGAAGTCTTTCCACAAACCCAGAGGGCAAGGGGACGTCCTTGTACTCCTCTTGGCCAGGATGATTGAAGCCAAACTCGTATGGCTCCAGCATATCATCCCAGAAGCGCCAGGATCGTGGAACTAGGTAGCCTCCAGCCATTCTACCATCTGGAGGAACAGGCCACGGGGTTGAAACATGGCCGAATTCCACAACACGTTCACCTTCTTCAATGGAGAAGTGTTTGTGAAGAAGGGCGAGGCCAACTGTGTCAGTAACCTCGAACTGTTGAAAGATATCTCTGTATTGATCATGAGAAGGAAGGTCTGTCAAACGCAAACTGGAGGGCCTCACCTCAGTTCTGCCAGGTCAGCTCTGTCTCCAAGCTTGGCCAAACGTTCACTGAGAAGTTTGTTGGACTCGCCCAGTGTAGACAAGCTGTTGAATACGTCAATATGCCACATGTTGATAAGCTATTGTGCAAATAGAAAACGTTGGAACTATTGGGAACCCTGAGGTTGGCAGTTGATTCGGTTTAGCTAATGTCGAGACTTTCCGATGGCGTTAGAACGAGGGCCTCGATACATCATATTTTATGGCCTCATCCTATGAGGCTCTCAGCCTGAACTTCATTGCATCCATTCTCCCACGTAGATCTGAACTTGCCCATCCAACTCATTGAATGACCCCACCATTTATCAATAATTTGCAGGTTATATGTTGTAACTCGACCACTCATATCCATCAGTTATATCCGATGCCTTACTTGAGGCCTACCCTACCCAAGACTTCTATGACATCAAGCTCCATGCGGAGCCTCAAGTTAAAGAATGTATTATATCCGAGACCGGGAAAGTGGCCAGAGATGGATGTGACTTGACCGCTTTACCTCGGGTCATGGGGCTCTGAGATCAATTTGTGCATGGTGCATGTATCTTATCCTCGGGGGTACGAAAGCTTCCGATATTGAATCAAAGAACCAGAATAAACTGGCCTAAAGGCCCGAAAATATACACTAAAATTGTCTAAGTATTTTTCTTCACTTAGGATGAGGTACTCGGGCTAGCGGATACATGTACAAATATACTGATGGAGTGATGGGCATGCCATTTATCCTGATTCCAGGCTGATCCATGCAGCGTTCCCCTGCACACCGACTTCAAAAAATGTGCCCGCGTCAGCGTTTGCTGAGTGGCTTTGCACAGCCTCGTTTCGGAGCGGACAGGATATGCACGCCGGCATCATTATTGTTTGGAGTCTAGATGTCTGTCATTTTCTACATGATTTAGTCCCGTTGCTTGGACGTTTTAGCATTGATGAGCTCAAACCTTAGACAAAACAGATATAAGACAGGAGCCTCCTGTTTTCCAGGCCTTCTCTGGTCCCCAAAAGCGGTCTGACACTTTAGAAAGGTGATATGATTCATCCTTGGTTGTGTAACACACCAAGATAACATATTGCTTATTCTAGCTTCTTGCAGCTGCCTAACGTGTTCAATGTGCAAAAGCCATATCTCATGCAATAAGCCGTCTTGAGACATACATGTCGTCAATCTCAACCAAACGGAGGATGCACTCCGTTTCGATTATGTTCTGCAAGTGAGCAGCCTCCGTAGGTCGTCCAACCTGACACCGTCACGCCTCCATTCTCTCTCGGGGGTCAATCAATTGAGGAGCATCACATGGAAAAAAGAAATGTTACAAGAAACCACTGGGGAGTCTACGACTGCCGTGAGTGCTACCAACCATCAGACATGTGTGAAGCATTTACAGGCAGTTTCTTAGACTTGGTCTAACCGTCACACAACTTTTCCATTCACACTTGCCATCGATTAGCCATGTCACATCACTATTCACCTAACTCTAGTATAATCTCCGGTCCCGGTGGGGATACTCGCACTGCGAGTGACGTATGCGATGGAACTGAACAATTCAGCCACGCGAATGGCGATTTCCGCCGAGACCATGTCCGCTTCGCCGCTGAATTGGGTAGTGCCGTTGAAGAAGCTGTTGCATCGATTGTAACAAGACATGGAGGCGCTGGTATTGACAAGAGCCTAGCCTGGGAAGCCATCCAGAGTCTCGCAAGGTCCAAGCTTGACGGACTTACAGGCAGCTTGATCACGCAGGGGAGCCAGAACTTTTACACTTCCAATGTAGGTATCACTTAGACTTAGTTGATATAGAACTAATAGTTTGCCAGAATTCTGTTTCTGCCGCTGAACCTTCGCTCTTCTTTTCTGACAATGCCGGCTCTATGAACCACGATGTCCCTTTGATGACCGACTTAGATGCGTTCTTCCAGAACGAACAGCCTTCTGGTTTTGAAAGTGGTCAGGCTCTGCAAGTTCCAGACTTAGGAAATGCCATTTATGATGATGGTCCCTTTTCACTATGGCAGGCGCCCATTCCAAGTCCCTCCTCTGCAACGATTACTCTTCCTACTAACAGTCCATCCTTCCAAGAGCCGTGGTCCGATGAAAATTCCGTTGAATCTTCTGTGACGGATAGCACACGCACTATCACAGCTAGTACTGCCTCTAGACACCATGGGCAGGCGGGACAAAGACTCGGGATTCCTCCAGCACGGCATGACGGTTCTCGGCCCCGGGCAAGCTCCAGACCTTCGTCTAAGCGTTCCATGAGCCAGGCTGGTCGCTTGATGCAAAGCCATGTGATAGAACTACCTAGTAAGCGATCTAGGCTTGGGAGGCCGAGCGTGCGGCCCAGTTGCGCTCGTTGCAAGATTCAGAAAAAGAAAGTGAGTCAGAAATCTTTGAAATAAAGGACAGAGCTCACAAGTGTCAAAGTGCTCTGGGGGTGCCAAGGCTTGCGAGTCTTGTGATATGTCGACCGTGTATCGGGAGCTCTGTGTTCCCGCAGACTTCAAAGGGTCGCGAACTCTACTTCATAGTCAGTCATCAAGTTAACAAGAAGGCTTAGTGCTAAGGTATTGTAGGCTTGTACCAAACACGGATTCAATCTTTACTTGATAATATCGATAAATGGCTCCCGGTAGAAAGCTATAAGACAGTAACCATTGAAATATCAAACGGGTTTCCACCAACCATGCAAGTGAGGTTAAAGCCATACGTCCCTTTCAGCCACGGGGCTCTCACTCACGTTCTATTCCGCGGGACTGAAGCTGGCATGATTACTCCGCGGGCTGAAAGCACAGCATTTTCTCTCGAGGATGGTACTCTAAGACCGGAGAAGATCGATGCTTATTGCGATAGTCTCGCATTCGATCTAGCACTGGATGAGGGGAGACAGGCAATGGACAGGAATAGACTGGCAAGTCATATCCTTATGTTTGCTACAACACAATGTGCAGAGCTTCAAGAAGTGCCGAGTATAGAAGGGGTATGTAACTGGATCATTTGTCATCTTGTCTTGAATGCCTCTCCAGGTGAATAACTTCAGCTGACCTGGCATACAGATCGGCTTGGTACGGCTTGCGCTAAGGTTCTGGGCCATGCAGGCTGTATTTTTCAAGTATCCTTGGACCATAGTGACAGGTGCTTCAGAGATCGGCATGTACTCACTAGATATTCCAGGATGCTGGTTTGGGAAGACACTACTCCCACGACTTGTCAACCAACAACTTGACAAGGCCTTCGAGATTCGTATGGATGAACTTGAACGAGAGATTCTTGAGCAACTCCAAGATATGATCCTTCGCGGCGAGCGAAGCACGTACTGGTGCGCCATATTCTTAACAACTTTCATACTCTTACACAGTCTCGAGAAAGACTCATGGAACATGCACGCCTGGGAGTATGAGAAGAACCGCGAAGGGGGAACTCGTTGGCCTTTGAGAAGGGACCCGTGTGATTACTACGGCCAGAACAAACATATTGCAGATACGTTGACAACATACTTCCGTATTGTGACGAATGGGCATGCGCCGTTTGCCATGGACTGGGCAAAATCTTCAAATCAAGGACTACTGGGCAAGAGTTTACATGCTCAATCACTGATTGAGGGCATACAGAAAGACCTGCAGGATCCCCAGTCCAGTGAGTTAACTATCGTCCCAGAAGTCAAATGTCAGATACTAATCAGATAGTAGTCTACACAAGGGAATTGTATGCCCCAAACGAGTTCCGAAGGGATGATGTTGAGAGCTTGAACTACCACTACACCAAGAGATTAATTTTGGGTTAGACCATATCCTATTTTTAGTTTGTGAATATCTCCACTATCAAACTATATATGAACATTTATTGCCATTGCTGAAAAGTCTATTGCTGCGCTTTGTTTTTTCCTACACCCGCCAACCTTTGCCACTCTCTATGATACGTTGTCATCAAACAAAACGTCCTGCGCCCCTGCGCATAAGTTCCCTGTAAAGCTGCGACACTATCGGGTGGATCTGCAGGTAACCGATCTTAGCTCAGGGGCAAGGCAGAATTTGCTGTTCGCACTTACATATTTATACCGTATAACGTATATTCATCTGGGTATCTTTTTGCCATAAACTCAAGCCCAACGCAATAGCTTTGCCAACAATCTCTGCCGTGTCCTTTCATTTCTCGCATAAGGTGGCCTCAACACCTCAGCTGACAGTTGGTGGGTGGTGAGACAAAGCCTGTCACAGCTTCACCTTTGGCATGCTGTCATTTGCGTTTGCACGTCTGCTGTAAGGGTATGGATCATCGAGATGTCGGAGCCACGTCGAGATTGGAGTATCGTGCTCCGAGAGTAACGTCAAGCTGTGTAACGCGACGCGTGTGATATTCTCCTTTGAGCTCTTTGGATCAGGCTGCTGTAATGGTCAGCACGACTGGCTACACAAGCGGGTGCGTGCCGCTGACCTTTTTATTGACACATCCCGTTGTCTCATCCATTTTGTGATAAATCAGGGAACAGTGCGGTATTCTGACTGGTTGGGTACGTACAGTTGCGTTGGTGAATCAGAAATGATTTACATTCTTTCTTTTTTTACAAATTACAGCAGCAAGGGAGGGCTTCTCGACTCTCATTATATCACCATCCATACTCATCCTCTTCGCCCTGCTTGAGTTGTGTTTTCTTAGTGTCGGAAATTATTAAAGGAATATGAGTATTCTTGTCTTTTCCGACCATCTTTCCGCTTTCTTCGAAGCTGCGTGATTGAGGCCATCAGCTACGGAACTTTGTGACAGGATTATTGGGCATATTCGACTAGCGTAGCCTGATTTGATCTCCCCTTCTTTGATTCGCTTGCTGTGTTGCAGGATGCAGCCAATTTTCCATGCGGGCGTAAATACATAATTGTACATACGTACATACGTGGTAGAACAAGGCAGGTCGGTAGGACTCAATGGTGTGGCAACCATTGCAGCCGATGTCTTTGTCTTATTTGGCGAATTGGGAACCATTGGAAAGCAAGGATTGTCTCATATTTCCGATCGTTTGTCCAATAAGCTTCCCCCTTCATGATCTCCCTTCCCCCCTTTGATCCGATCCAATGCCAGCGTCTTAACGCTCTCGCCCGGTGAACATACAAGAATGCCTCGCGATCAGTCAATTCTACGTCTCGCTAGCTTTCTGCTGCAAAAATGATGTGGTCTGACGCCTGCTTGGCATTGGTCTTCTTGGGTCTCATGACCTTGGGCGACTCCATCACTGACAGTCTTCTCCCCGCTCTCGCCGATGACACTCACACCCAGTCAGGTCGTTGGAATCTAGGCACTGCGGCTCTTGTACTCAAAGGCGTATCCGGTAAGTTGGCGCTTCATGCTTAGCGAGCGATATTTCCAGCTAAATGTGGCTTGATTACTGACATAAAGCACAGATATTATAGGCCAATTTATGATTGGCTATTTTCTCAACACCAGGTCTAAGCATCATGCCATGAATCTTAACGCCACTAGTATTCTTGTCGCCAGTCTCGTCACATTGTTGAGCTGTATGCGGTTACCAAGCAGGCAATTCCCACCAACTCAAAACTAATAATAGTAATAGTATGTTACGAGCAGCAATGGCCTATCTTGGTTGCCATCGTAAGCCCTCTAGTAAGATGTATCGGAGGAGGATCTCATGCCTCGGCATTTCTCATACTCGCCATACTCCATGATCAGGCCCCCCCTCATTACCGGTCTGCTCCCTCATCCCTCACATCCCTATGGTCATTATTTTATACTGACTGTTTCTCAGGTTCGCAAGTTACTACTGCACAGGAGCTGTTTCAGTCGTGGCCCAATCTTTCGGTCCATTCTTTGCCTCTATCCTCGCTGATTACACTCACTTCTTGCCCGGGATACTATCCGGAAGCTGTTGTCTCATAGGCTTTGGAATTGTTGATTCACTGAAGTCCACGGCTTGTGAGAGCAATAATTCTAGTCATGATGAGTCCACTTCCTTGCTGCCTAACCACCAAACCGACGCTGAGCTTAAGAGACTCAGTATATCGGTTACAGAGTACCTTTCTAGATGCTTTGGCAAGAAGTCTCTCCTCAGAACTTCGAGTCTCATATTTCTGCCACAAGTGTTTTTCCTCATGGCTATTTGCAAATCAACTCGGCCACTTTTCAAAACCTACATTCAGCACAGAGACGATGTTAGTCCTTCAGAGGTATGTATACGAAGTGCTATATCTATTTCAAGCTGGAGATTGCTTACCTCGATTGTATATGTAGGCTGAGGGTTTGTGGCTTCTCCGTAGTGTTATGAGCGTTGTCATCTTTGGCATCATCCTACCGGGCATCATTCTGCACACTGCACCGAGGGTCTCATATCCTAACAGTATCAACCTTCACGCCGCCAGAATCAGCGTTTTATTTATCTCGATTGGTGCCTTCATGATAGGTCTATCAGGTTCTCTACGTTCCATCACTGCAGGTATGTCGTATCCAAAAGCTGAAGATGTCACTTTCTGAGACCAATTCCAAGCCCTTGTGATAAATACTCTCGGCGTTGCAACTGACATAAGCCTGCTTGCCTTTGGGTCGTGTGGCTTCAGCAGCTCTGCTGCAGGAACTGTCATGATGACCTTGGCATCTATTGAGAGTGCTGGAACGCTGCTCGGGATCGGTATTTTATACCCGATCTATCAATGGAGTATCAAAGAAGACCTACCGTTTCTCGTAGGAGGCGTTCCTTACTACATATGTGGGGTGAGTAGTTACAGTTCAAGTCTATGCAACCTACCTGCTGAATCCAAATACAGTCTCTTTACGCGGTCACTGCCGTAGTTGTGTGGTCTTCAAGGAGAAGCCAAGCTAATGAGTCATGAGCTATGGTATGTCGGACCAGCCTTGCAAGAACTGTGCTAATAGATGTTCTCCCCATCGCAGGGGATCCGAGAATCCCATGAGGACAAGGTCTTGAGGCTCATCATGAGAAAGATGTTGATCGACAAGCTTTGCCAATCACGTGGCGAGTTCTTGGTGACGGATTGTTCAGAAAGCCCTAACTCGGGGTAGAAATAATCAAACGGTTGATTTAGGAACCTGGAGGCTAATGATAAACAGGATGGTGTGATGGGGTACCGACTCGGCAGGGTTCACAGGACTGCAGAACGGGGTATTTGAGAGCTCGTTTCCTTTTTCATGTAAAGCCACAGAAGCCGGTGTCTATTCTCCTCATCCAATATGAAGTCACCGGCTATAAGTAGTATCAGAGGGTAGATTAGCCGTTCGTAAAACTCAACTGGCCGAATCGTTTTGCTGCTAACTACTGTGGACCTAACCTGTGATAATCTTGAGTCAACTGCCGGTCTTGGCGTAGTTCGGCTCTTCTCCCATTATCTCAATATTTCTCGCTTAGCTATATCGTAAGCTTCATGCCATTCAATGGGGTAGACCTTGGCAACACGAAGCGTCAGGAGACTGGCATCAACACCTCGGACTTCTTCAGTCTCAGAACCCGAACAGTTATCCATAGAATGATAGAACTGCGTTCGTGAATGGCTCGGGTTGTACATGAAGTCCGCAGAACCTGCAGATATAGAGGTTCAGTTGTAGACTGTAACCCAACTTGAGACAACTCTTATGCAGCCAACCAAGACAGGAGAATTTGCAAAGCAATGCGCCATGAGTCATCGTGTCTCATCAACATCGATTATTCGTAAACTGCTCGTAGACTGGCCGATCGTCGTCATGCGAATACGACGGGTCCACAACGGCCATGCCCGTGCACATAACCTGTCCTGATCAAGATGCTCGCCTCTCCACTGCACTGCATGCACGCGTGTCGATACCGTTACATCACCCACTGAAGCGAGTCATTCAACCGGAGCGAGTCTATTTCACAGAGCAATTTCGCCAAGTCTTTTACGAAATATCCACTTGAGATGCGTCCGTAGCTGAGAACATGCTCGGGGTCGGGCCCATGAAGGTCCCCGTCATATGAGCTTCGGGCTTTTGGGCGACACTAGCTGCAGATCATCTACGCCACTACAGATTCAGTTCTGTCGATCGTATATCGGATCTTGAAGTATAAATTCTATACATCATGAGAGAAATATCTGTTCATCAAGCCCAGGAAAGGACAGGATAGTCCAAGAGTTCAGCAATCCTCTCTAATGCCGTCCTATCTTGATCTCCTTCTGGGCAATCCCCAGTACGCCATCTTTTGCGGCGTCACCTTGTTCACTCTCTTCATCATACGATACTCTTTACTCGGCCATGTTACAAAGTTTCCGGTCTTGAATCCGAAAAAGTCCCTCGAGCTTACCAGCAACCGTGTAACTCAGGACTTCATTGTCGACAGCAAGAATATTCTCACGAATGGCAGAGCTTTATATAAAGACCAGCCGTACAGGGCCTACACGGACTGGGGGAAAGTGGTCGTGATTCCACCCAAGTTTCTTGATGCGCTGAAGAGCCATAAGCAGCTAGACTTTTCGATACCAGCTCAAGATGTACGTTTCACGTCTCAAAGTGGCTCGATAATCGCAGTTGCTGATTATCAGAAGGACTCTCACGCATATGTACCCGGATTTGATCCTTTTGTTTCTGACCCAAACATTTCGAAAGTTGTGACCAAGTATTTGACCAAATCTTTAAGTTGGTTTCCTGTTCATCCTTGGCCTATGAAATACTGACTCTTTTGGCTCAGCCAAGCTCACGGCACCACTCTCCGACGAGGCATCTCTGGCCTTTCGTCAAGTTCTTACAGACTCCACTGGTAAGTAGCCTCCGCAAATACTTTCAGGGTCGAGTATAGATTAATCTTGCCGCGCGTTGTAGAATGGCATGAAATGCACCCTCAAAATGATATTGTCCGTATCGTATCGCGTATGTCATCACGAGTTTTCATGGGGGAATCCCTCTGCCGCGACGACGAATGGGTCAGAGCCAGTGGTGACTATACCGTTCAGTCCTTCAAGACGGGTGACATTCTGCGAACGTATCCTCGATGGTCACGACCCTTTGTGCATTGGTTCGTCCCATCATGCTGGACGCTGCGCAAGAGACTGGACGAAGCAATCCAATGTCTGGAACCTCATCTTGAGCGTCGCAGTATTGTCTCAGCAGAGGCCAAAGCACAGGGAAAGCCCTCGCCTTTCGATGATTCGATTGAATGGTACAAGAAAGAAGGCTCTACACGTGACCCAGCACTCCTACAAATCTCATTATCACTCGTGGCTATCCACACAACTTCCGATTTGCTTATGGAAACGCTTTTCAACATTGCCCAGCATCCTGATTTATTCCAGCCTCTTCGCGAAGAGATCACGAATGTGTTGACTACAGAGGGACTCAAGAAGACAGCTCTATATAACCTGAAGCTCATGGATAGTGTCATCAAAGAGTCTCAGAGATTACGACCAGTCATACTCGGTAAGTAGATCACCAAACATTCTTCAATCTACATCTTGTGCCTAACCACTTTTCAAGGCTCCTTCCGAAGGCAGGCTATGGCAGACATCACTCTTCCAAATGGCGATGTGATCAAGAAAGGAGAAAAGATTGTCTGTGATACGACTCACATGTGGAACGGCGATTACTATGAAGAAGCTGCAAAATTTGACGGCTATCGTTTCCTGCGAATGCGGGAGGCATCTGAGCAGGACAAGCACCCTCATCTTGTTAGCACTAGCTTCGACCACCTGGGCTTTGGTCATGGCAATCATGCGTGCCCTGGGCGGTTCTTTGCGGCGAATGAGATCAAGATCGCGTTGTGTCATATGCTTTTGAAGTATGATTGGAAGCTGGCAGATGGCGTAGTTCCTAAGCCGACAGGTTTTGGAATGGCGTATTTGCCTGATCTCCAGGCCAAGCTGCTTATTAGACGAAGGAATGAGGAGTTGGATATTGACTCTATCGAGACTTATTAGGCTGAGAGTTGCAAATTCAAAGCTGTTACTCATTAGGATAGTTGGACAACGATGAAGGCAAAAGGTTTACTTTATCCTCATTGAGTTCTCTTTGCAAAAATATGAGTATTTTATAGAATTTATGTTTGATGTATTCGTATACTTTGGCTAGTTGGATATCGTTATCAACACGGTTCTGGATAGTCGTCTCTGTCATATTCTCCAGTCCGCCGCGAATAAGAACGGAACATGCGTCTAGGCTTCGAAACACTTCCTCTGTCGCCCCGTTCTTCCAGTCTCGTTTGGCTGTCTAAACCTTGAATATCTTCTAGATGATATGTCCCGTTGCTAAGCCTACTCGAGAATGTGCCGTCGGCTATGATGCCGCAATGCTTGTCGCGGGCGATCTTACCTATGAGATCCGCCATTGACATCTCGATGTGTAATTTTACAGTGTATGCTAGTGGATGAAACTGCATGTATCTGTGAACAGTTAGCATGCTCAAAAGTAAGTCGGGGACTTAGGGTCAAGGGCATACACAAAGGTATTTCGTAAACTCATCATGGCAATAATAAGTACATCCATGCTCAAGGAAAATCCAATGATAAACATATTAAAATGCGTCAACCTCTTGTACTTCGTAAGGCCGTGAATAATAAGATTTTTGCGAACGATGTGGATGAAGTAGAAATTCAGACAGCCGTCGACAATGAGATAGATGACTTTTTCGCATCGGTCCCACCATTCGTTGATGTGGATATATCGTTCTGATACTTGCAACCGCGCCGGAATCCATATGCAGTAGACGGAAATATTAACGGCCGTTATAAGTGTGCCGATGAGGACTTTGAGGCGGTAGGCTTTCTTTTTGTTGGTGAGGAGGATGCCACAGCGGTTGACGATGATTTGGAGAAGGAATTGGACCTATCGGGAGAGGGTTAATTTTGGCGGTTCGCGCGCATATCTTTGAAATTCGTACCTGTAGAGCCCATGTCGTAACTGAGAAGCGGTCAGTAATATTCATATCGAAGAGACTGGTAACTTACGAATTGTGAAATAAAATGCAAAGCTGTAGTTGGTGTCAGTGAACATTCTCATCAACATTCTCATCGCGCAATATGCGCCAACTCACCTTGGGGGTATAACGTCCAGTAAATGCAAGATACAAATAACCATAAAAATCGTGCAGACCGTCAACTCCCCCCAGACCATGATGATGTACGCATTTCGAAACACCCGCCGGCCATGGCGCTGATACACCTGCCAGGTCTGCCTGATGGCCTTGAAGACAGTCAACCACCCAAAACCAAGCGTGAAGCCGAACGCCGTCGAGGCAATGACAAGGTCACCTCTCGTAACCTCCTGAGCCTTGTAGTGGGGGGAGAGGAGTGTTAACATGGCATATCAGATGGGAAATCATTTGGCCTTGATATCTCGGGTGATGTTTTCCATGGTTTGAGGAATTGGAGATGCATAAGAGGGAGAAGGAAAAATTAGCAGAAGGACATCATAGACTAGAGGTGAGAAAAGCAAAGACTTGGCCGAGGGCATATGCAGGGCGATATGTAGCGGCGGGCTAATGATTGGGAGTTGTTGAGATGCTAAGTGAAGCCTCTTCATGCACGTCGGCTCAATAATGTATCATTGACGTAACTCGATCAGCAATGTCTGAGTGCGAACAAGTACCGTCTACTGTAGCATCAGCCAATGGGGAGAACCTTAAGAGTGCCTCTTTTCGCCCCTAATCTCCAAGGTAGTTCCAACCTTTCCCCGCGCCCCGGCAGATTCCAGACCGAAAGAGGCGTCTTCACTGCCGTCAGCCGTTAAGAACCGTGCTCTCGTGTGCTGTACAGTACTGTCTGTAGTCCAAGTCGTGCTTGTGGCTTTGCTTTGCTATGCGCTGCTTTTCTTGGAACATTGGGTAACAAGATCTGCGTGCCAAGTGACGTTCTGCGCTGGCTGGTAAGTGACA